TGTTCCTGTATTAAACCATTTCCCTACCATTCAGGCCAATTTTTTAAATTTTAACTTCATAATACACGCTCTCAATCATAAAGGTGTTTTAAAAGTTACAAAATAGCATTTTTGCCTTTTTTTTTTTTGTTTTTTTCCTACGTGCTTCAGACTCAGAGCGTGCTTCCTAATACTGTGACTCACAAGCAGCTCTAAGCTTCATGCTCGTGACAGATTTAGATTTTAAACAATGCCTTTTATGCATGTATGTGACTATGTAAGTATCTCTAATATTTAAATATTTATATTTTTGACATGTGACTAAGCAGCAATACTGCAAAATGAATCCAGAAAGAAGCACAACATTTTTGTCTCAAATTGTGCTAAACTGAATCCGTCAAGGATCTGGTCTATTTTGAGCAGTATGGTGGAAAATTTTAGGCTTAAAAATTCCACTCTGTACTTCCGCTTGGTTAGAATATGAGCTTTTGTAGTCTTCAAAACCGGAGAGTCATATTGCCTGAGTCTATTTGGACCTTAATTTTAGCAAAGAGGAAATTACAGCTTTTTCTTTTACCTAGATACAGTATTTCATTAATCTTCTGTATTTTTCTATTAATGGCTTTCTATTAACTGATGTCTGTGGCTTTACAGATGACATGAAATCATTACAACAGAACTATTTCTAAATTAAATCTTGATTTGCAATCCCATTTTTAAAAAAGAGAAAATTAATTTTCCCCTTTAATGTGGAATAGGTAATAATTTTTTAAAAATAAATCTACCAGTAAAACAGGATAGTGAAATTGCTGATGAAATTGTGACAGTAATCAATTATAAAAAGAAATATCATGCTTTCAAGTCCTTGTGATTTTAAATATATCTTCAGAATGACCTATTATACAACAGATGAAATATTTCTGGGAAGGTGAAATTAGCTAAAGTTTGAAAAGTCAGTTCAGTTTGAGAAAATACGAAAGCAGTGCTCTATAGTAAACAAATTTTCACAAAGTCTTATGAAAGTATTATGATACTTTACAAAAGTTCACATAACTAGAAAACATAGTAAACACTGAAGGAAACATTTTTGGGCGTGTATTTCTGTAACTAAAGGGCAAAAGGTTATATTTGGGGATGCTTAGAAATAACTAGTCCTTTTTCGTTTGTGTTTGTTTTTGTTGTGGTTTTTTTTTTCCCCCCCTAGCTCTCTCCTTTGCTTCTGCTTATTAAAAACACAAAATGTCTGAAGTTAAGCAGAGGAAAAAAGGTATTTCTTCATCCAAGACCAGTGAAAGTTCACAAAAGGTTGAGAAGCACAGTAATTGTGGGAAGCTGCCAAGTCCCGGGACCAGCAATGATTGGAGTTCCTTTTGGATGGACTCAAGGACCAGCTTGAGCATAATTTCCCTCGCTGTTTGCCTGGTGCTGACCTGGTAGGTAAGCCTCTAAAGTGGATTTTAATATTTTCTTTTGTAGTCTATACTGTATTCAGTCACGGGCAATATGATTAGTTACACTTGAATATAGTGTTTGGGTTAAGTGACTGTAGAAACTTGTTAAAGCTAGAAGGATCAAGAAAAGAATAGCAGTACTCACACATGTGGAAACATTGGCATATAGTGAGGGATTATAGAAGCTCGATCTGTTCTATCACGTTGAAACTTTAAAAGGTGCCTTGCTCATGAATTGTAAATACCTGCTTTGGAGACTACATCTAACTGTGAAGAGCAATTTAATCTGACAATAAGTACAACAAGGCTCATTTGGCAGGTAATAAATAAATCAACAGTAGAAGTGAAGTAGAGTTTTCTGTAAATAATTTGCTCAGCAGTGTGGTAAATTGTTCATTATGTGGAGTCTTCAAGTAAAGGTCAAATATCTTTGTAAAAGACGTTTTAGAATATCTTAGCAGCATCAGTACCTTAGTTCCATCAGAAACTGAGCTTCTTGCAGAAATGATACGATGAAATTCTCAGAACTCTAGTGCAAGAAATTAGTCCGGATTATTACACTCCAGACATCAATCTGAAAATCGAGGTAAAATTTGTTCTTATTTTAACATCACCCAGATTTCATTATCTAAATCTTTGAGAAACAGAACGACATAGTAGAATAAAACGATTAGTGATGCTTCCGCTTACTGTTTTATGTATATCTGTTTATCTCTGATTTGCATGTATCTATCTATAGCTAGCATTTTAGCTTTTATTGCCTGACTTAATCTGTATAGACTATTATAGATCTTTTGAAACTTCTAATTGCTATGCAATATACTAATAAATATCAATTTATGAAAGCACAAGTATTTTAAATAAACTCTGTTGTTCTAGATAAAATTGTTCTTACTACTGGGAGGACCCCTGCTTAGTCTACAATAAACCTTGTTTTGGGATTAATAAACATCCAGCAAAATTTAGGGTTCTTGCTTGGTTGTCTCATTTCCTTTTTAACTGTATAAAGTGCTTACAGTTCAGAAAGCTCCCAAGTTCACAGTAAATGAATCTAGAATGTATATAAAGTACAGGATTGACATCTCCACTGTTTGTTCACAAAGCTAGCATCATCACAACAGTAGCTATACAAGCTTTGCCACAATGCACCATATGTTCTTGAATGGTTACAATTAAACAACATTAGAGTTGACCAGCCTTTCTAAATCCAAAGGCTTCTACGCATGATTTTGTGATGCTTTGCAAGAAAGTACAAATTTTTTTGTGTGTTTTATTTCCACTGGTTAAATATTACTTTATCCATAAAATATATCGTAAGGCAATGCATTACAAGCATATAATGGCTTCCCTATGTCAGCAGTCTTATCAGACATTTTTCCTGTTTGAATGGCATACAATGTAAAAACAAAGCACATCTATGGATGTTTCCTTATTTTTCCAGCTCTGTTGGAAGATAACTCCAGTATGAAGACAGAGCAACTTCATTAAATCCTGATTTTTTTTTTTTCTTTCATGTGTTGATCTAGCAAATTCTGTGAACACAAATCCCTGCCATAACAGATTGCTGTGAATCAGGTCCCAGAACACTGAATATATGCTAATTATCTCATTATGTTTACTATTTATTTACTTGCAATTTGTAGGTTCCTATTTCAGCAGTCAGGTCAATTTGCTGATATGGAAAAAAAGTACAATTTCTTACAGCAAGAAGCTGAAAAATTCCTGGACATGGAAAATAAAGTTAACTTAATTTCTGAAAAGGTAATCATTAACATCTTAATTGGATAATCTCTGGTGAACATATGCCATTGTTTTCCTTTGTTGTCATTTAGTAAAATTTAACTGACTGTTTTAAAATAAATTTTCATAATGTATTCTACTTCCCTGTGAATAGGCCTTTGGAGAATATTTCATGTGACTAAACGTGTCAATCCATACCATTGTTCGAGTATGTGAATATAGTGGTTGTATCTCAGTATTATTTTTTAGACACTAAACTATTTTTAAAAACTTACAATTACGCACATACTTCATTCTACCAGTATTGTTCTGTGTGTAAGTGTAATATACATTGATTTGAAGAAAATTTGTAGGCATTTTTATGTAGTAGATCTGTTCTAATAATATGAACGACATAATGAAGTGATAGTAAAAATTTTTCATTGCTATTTTATTTTCTTATCTATGTGTGACATTATCAAGTAGAAAACTTGGGCTGGCTGCCGAATTATCCCTTATATCTTACAGATAATGATGGGAGTACAGCATGGCTTATGCCAGTGATGTCATTTTAGCACTGATCTCATAATGATGTCATTTATACATGATGTAATTTGGATATTTATATACTACACTTCAGATTGCAAAATATTGCATGGCATCGAGGTAGCGTGATATATTTTACAAAAAAAAAACCAAACCCACCATGGAAAATAAGGAATTGACAACAAAGAAAATTGCATGCATTCTCTAGAAACTCAACAACAAACATACCCTTTTCTGTGACTTTTTCATGCTAGCTTAATCAACAATATTTTAAAGATGAAATATGGAAACAAATCATTTAGGAGCTTTGTAACAAGTGGCTTCTAAGGGACTTTATTCTCTGTTAAATAAATGCAAGTGGTCTTCTATTCTTACTTTTGTTAAGTAGACATGGACATTGTTTTGTGTTATAAATGCAGCTTGAGTCTTCTGAAAGTATCCTACAAGAAGCTGCCTCATCCACCTCTGTGATGACTGAGTTTGAGCAGGAAATATCTTCTCTTCATAACATCATAAATGATATTCAGAACAATGAACAGACTCTCTCTGTAAAGATGCAGAGCATTAATGAGAAGTTGCAAAATGTTACAGATTCCTGGAGAAGAAGCTTGGATGAAATGAACACAAACACTAGTGGTTTAAAATCTGAAGCGAAGTTCATACATACAGAAGTTACTTCCCAAATTAATGAAGTTGACCAAAGAATTAAATCCCTTTCAGAAAAAGTAAGAGATTTGGAAGACAGTACAGCCAGAAATATTAAAACACTAAAAAGGCAAGAAGATGATGAATTCTCTAGAGTTGAACAAAAGTTGGACTTAAATGCAAAGGCAGTTGAAAAGCTAGAAGAACAACAGAATAGTTTGGTAGCCAAGGACACGGACCTGAATCAGAAACTTGCGAACTATGAACCTAAAATTGAGGAGTGCAAGACCCATTTGCCAACAATTGAAAATGCTATTCACTCTATTCTTAGATTATCAAGTGAATTGCTAAGTATGGAGAAAAAGATAGAGGACTTGACAACACAGCTATATACTGTGGAGAATGATATGTTGAAAACTGTTTCTGATACAGTGGCAATGCGAAAGGTTCTTGAAGGCATGCAGTACAACGACAGCATATTGAAAGTGCAAAATGAAGTAGTAGTTTTAGAAGAAGTAGTGCATGACATAGAAGTATCTTCGAAAGTAAAAGACATAACTTCAGAAAGCTATAATTTAGAAAATGACCAGAATGGGGATAAGTGAATTTGGACTTAGGGTTTTCATTGATGAAAGAGCACTTTAATTTTTAATACAATAATGTGACCTCAACATATGTTAAGGGTAGCTGAAATACTGTCATCAATTTAAAGAGGCATTGGATCAGCCTGAAAGGCAAACTTGTAATAAAGAGGACAGAGAGCAAGAAATATTGTGTTGGAGGGAGCAAGGAGTAATTTCTTAAATTTAGGATTATTTTCAGCTTATTTATTAAAAGATCATTTTATTAAAAACAACGACAGCATATTGAAAGTGCAAAATGAAGTAGTAGTTTTAGAAGAAGTAGTGCATGACATAGAAGTATCTTCGAAAGTAAAAGACATAACTTCAGAAAGCTATAATTTAGAAAATGACCAGAATGGGGATAAGTGAATTTGGACTTAGGGTTTTCATTGATGAAAGAGCACTTTAATTTTTAATACAATAATGTGACCTCAACATATGTTAAGGGTAGCTGAAATACTGTCATCAATTTAAAGAGGCATTGGATCAGCCTGAAAGGCAAACTTGTAATAAAGAGGACAGAGAGCAAGAAATATTGTGTTGGAGGGAGCAAGGAGTAATTTCTTAAATTTAGGATTATTTTCAGCTTATTTATTAAAAGATCATTTTTATTAAAACGGAATTTGAAGCAAAGTATTTAGATTTAAGAAAAAAAATGAAAACCGGAGATGACAGATTAAAATTTATATTTAGTTCTCACTGCTTTTTTATATTTTCACTTCTTGTATTATATTCTATGGACTTGTAACACAATGAACAATTAAGTTCATACTTCTAGGCAGATATACATGTACCTCACTTTTAACGTATTATATACCACAATGTTTTTGTGCTTACAGTACAGACTTCTTAATGTCAGAGTTGTTAGTGGGATCTACATATTTTATTATGTGCAGGAAAGCCAAAGTACATTTTTAACAGCTGAAGCTTATATACAACAGCATTACAGAAAACACTAGTAAAGCACCCCTTACCAAGAACCTTCCCTTCTACTGGTATTTATATGCAGGGGGTTTCACAGCAGCTGGTGTTATCTTTTATTTCTTTGATCCCATGCAAATAGCCTCCTTAGACCCCATTTCCAGCCTTTTCAAACTTTCTAAAATCACTGGCATAGTTTTGTTGTGCCATTGACGTCATTGGACTACATATAGACTGACGTTCTTCTTCACAGATATTCCTGTTAGATTCTTCCATCATTTAATTTGCAAGTTTGGTGTGATCAGTCACTGTATTAGTTTGGGGTTTTTTTTGGTGGGTTTTTTCGTTTGTTTGTTATGGTGCTGACAGAAACAAGTTTTTACCTTTTCTTCTGTAGAATGTTCTCTGTTAGGCATTACATGACACGTCTGGTATTGCTTTGCATTTCAAAGTGAAAAAAACTTAACAGTGTCACTGACATTGTTTCCTAAAGTTTGGTGAAGCAAGAGCTACAAAAGTAATCAATGAAAGCTATGGAGATACGTACTTGGGGCCAGGGAATATCTAATTTATCCATAGACTTAATAGATCTACTTGCACAGGATGTAGTACTACCTAATAGGCCTGGTAGCTGCTCATTGAAATCTGGGTCTCGGGACCACCATAAATTTGTGGCTACAGACTCATGTCTTGATAATTTCCCATTCCTGATTTCTGAACTCAGGAAAGGAGATTGCTTAGTAGGCAGTATGAACCCACCACACTTATGACTTAATCAGGCTTAAGTTAAATTATTCTGATTTTGTACATTCATTTATCTAGAACTCTACTGAAATCTTCACTAAACAGTTAATGCTGCCCATTCAAGAGACTATTTAACCAGCATTTCTCAATGTTATGAAGTCTTTCATATATTTATTACTTATGTATAGATTTGTATCTGTTTACAGTCATATTCAATAAAAATATATTATAGTGGATTGCCCTGTCCTGGTGCATGATCTAGTTCAAAATAAATTGCTCTTCCAGAAAGGGTACAGAATAAATACTTTAGTGTTCCATTAAGAAATACTATTCTATACGGAAATGTTTTTTAAATACTTTTCACAACATGTTCCAGTGTGTTTCTAACTTCATATATTTTTGGGGAAAGGTGGCTAAATTACCAGTGGTATGCTCCCCAATTTAATGTCTTTCATCAACCTCAACCCTATTGAAAGCTGAACGTACACGAGATTGAACAGGAAATCCTCATCCTTAGAGGGCATTACCTAGGAAACCAGCACAGCTCTCCACGACCTAAATTTTGGTATTTTGTTTTTAAGCGAACAGTGCTAGTGAGGAATGACCAACACTATCAAAAAGTTAAAAATATTTGTTTCTTTGGTGATATTTTTACTACTAGCATCAAGAAAAGGATTAGTATGAAACTAATTATAGGCTCTTAGAATGTGTTTCAGTTTGCCCATTTGGTGTTTTTTTTCTCTCCAAGTTTTACACTGACTTATTGGGGATTGAACAGGATAGTATCACTTAGGTATTTTCCTTTCTTCCTCTCAAATTTGAAAACCAAGAACCAACCATTAAAAAAAACCCCAAAAAAGTAAACTAGCAAATTCAGCCAGAAATCCAACAGTAGCATGAGTGTTCCCTCATTAACGTAGCTTTTATGGAGGCAGGCTGTTTTAAGTAATGTTTTTCCTGTGAAGTATTTTGGTGGCTATTTAAACCATGCCTAATTCCTTTGGCTTTTTCTTCTGTGAACACCGCGTTCAAAATATGTATTATGATTACCAAAATAAAAATGCATCAGTTAATTATGGTCCATGATTTTTGGATAAGAGAATTTTAAAGTAGGCATCTTTCTAAAATGTTTCTGAGTATCTTTCTACATGTGTCTTTCTGGATCACGCAGGTTAGAGGCTTAATACAAACATTTCTGTAAATCAGAAGAAGATTGCATTTGATGACTTGTGTTTTCAGAGGTCACGCTGGAAAGTCATATAGCACCTTCCTGTAATTTTTGTTACAATAGAAAAAGTAGTAACATTTGAATTTGTTATGTATACTGAAAGGAAAAAACTGAAATTTTTGGTTCTGTTGCAACAGAAGTTTATTTCCTAAAGACAGGGTTTGTGCTCAATTTCAGTATCAATAAAGTAAGATATTTCATTAGAATATAGCTTTAATTTTTATGTGAGGTGTTAAACTAGAAATCTTGTCAAATATTTTTATTTGTATCCCTCTAGTGTGAAAAGACTTGGAACTTAATGGAACAGATGGAAGACCTTCAAATGATTTCTCACATTAAACATGTGCAGGAAGATATTTATACAATGAAAACATGGTCTAGCAGCATAATTAAAAAACAAGAAGAACTGCAGAAGAATTTAACAACTCTTTTTCATGCAGTTTCAAGTGTTGAACAGAATGCAGCTTCTGTAGCAAAAAACGTAACTTTGACGATCGCGACAGTAAAAACTGACATAAGGCGCATTTCAGGCCTAGTCTCAGATATGACTGCATTGACAGATTCTTTGCAAACACTAGAAGATAAAGTAGAAAAAGGTGAAAAGACGACGGTAAAAAATATAGGTGACCTGCTTACCAGTAGCATCGACCGAAGTACAAAACTACAGAGCTTGGCATCCAGTAACGCAAGAAAAATTGAGCAAATTAAGACAGCATTATCTGAGTTAAGGAGTGGTTTTAACAAGCATTCGGATAGACTTTTGAATCTCGAAGGTGACAGAGCAAAAGTTCTGAAGACGGTTACATTTGCAAATGATTTAAAACCCAAGATGTACAAACTTAAAAAGGATTTTGCCATCTTGGAGCCATTAATAAATGACCTAACACTGAGAATAGGAAGATTAGTAGAGGAGGTATTACGACGGGAGAAGGAAATTGCTTTACTGAATGAGAAATTGGCCAATCTAACAAGAGTTCAAACTGAGATCAAAGATATGAAAGATGAAATAACCAAGATTTCAGACATGAACTGATCACTGTGAAATGTCACTGCCTAAAGAATACTAGTTCGAGGAGCGTTAACCCCATCACGTGTAGTACTAAGAAGACAGACAATATTTAAAGGCTTCATTGAGAAGCACACCGAAACTTAACTAGAGATTTGTCCTCTTCCTTTGAAAAGGACAGAAAAAAAGTCATACTGAATTCAAGGGACAAGCTATAATGTGAGCAAAAAACATGTCTCTGTGCATGTATTTGTCTTTCTGAAGGATGACAGATGCTATATTTAATAAATTGCTTGTTTTCTACAATAAAACAGTGTTAAAGCATAAAATGTTCTTACCTTTCGAGTTTGCTTTCATGAAGGAAGCAGGACCCAAGACTGACGTATCTTCAGCTTTCCTTTCCTGCTCCAAAGGAAGGAACAAAATTGTTGTTTCCAGATAGAGTTAAACAAGAGTTAGTCAAACTGCAGTAGCAATTTAATATTTGTCTCAATATAGTCACTCTATGATTTTTGTAAACTTTTGCACTTTTTTTTTAAATAGTCAATATTTAAAGAGGTAAATGCAGTGAAGCAAGCAACGCCCAGAAGTATTGCCGATGCCTCGCAAAAAGTTTGTCACACATTTAGATGGAATAATTTGTATAAGGTTTTCTGTGAGGCTTTATAATTTTAAATTATAATTACCATGCAGCACTGTTATGTCTTTAAAACACAGAACTCTATATGGGGACAGTGTTTTGAAAGACCGACTAGCCCTACTGATGGCTTTCTCCCAGTGTCACGGTATCTGTTCAGGAATCCTAACAGTGTTATTCATTCATTGTTTCTTAGCCCACAAAATACTATAGTGAGCAGCAGAATTAGCAAAGAGAAGCTACTTAGGTCCCAAAAGGTTAGACTGATAGGAGCCACTGGCAGTATTTCTGTGGTTATTCTGTGGTTAGCAAGAGTTTAAGAGATCTGAGACATTTGAAAACGCAGTAGACTGAAGTAACAAGATAATGGGTTTAGCAGAGGATAGGGGGGAAAGTGCATTAAATAGGAATAAAAATGACTATAAAAAACAATTAGGAGAGGTACAGCAATTAAGAAAATCCCTATAAATGAAATTATATCACGAAGTATAAGCATACAGTAAGGCCTTTATAACTTCTCAATTTTTTAGTTGGTCATACCTGAACATCTTGCAGCTACTAGGCTCTTGACTGTATGGAAGATACAACCATTCCACTCTCTCACTGTTCTCATCCTCACTCAGCATTCTGTATCTTTTGGCCTGCTTCATGGTGCTGGTCTTCCGTACCCTGCTTGCTTCGTTGCCCTCAGTCAACCTCAAACATACTGTTTCATCAAGTTTTCCTCTTTTTGGTAGAGGTCCATTCCTACTTCCCAATTTTCTCTTACCCCTTCCCAGTCCACCTGACAGACTGCAAGGATAAACCTGTCAAAAGACAAGTTTTCCTAGAAAGCATCCACAGATACTATTTACCAACCGGTGTCCCTTTGGCTCTTTCACACAATTCTTAAGCAAGCCCCTGAAAATAACCAAATGGCATTTGAAGGAGACAGAAAAATTAAAGAACATCCGGAATGATCAGCCATGCTAAAGCATGCGTTGTGTATCATACCTGAAAATATATATATATACATGCACATACATACGCCACAAGAGTTTGGGATTTATGTAATAAATATATCTCATTTGTATATTAAAGCTGGATATTCACTGAATCCACCAATCCTGGTTTGGTTTTTTTGTGTGCAAGCTCATGTTAGTGCCGTCAAGGAGAGCACTTGGCACAATAGACATGGCTACCAAAAGAACATTGATAGAGCTGTGTGAGAAATCTATCTTAAGCGCCTTTCGCTACGGCCCATATGATGCGGTTAACAGTTACCAGTGGATTAACTGCATCATGGGCTATAGCAATTTTATTTATTTTGTTTTCAACTTTATGAATGAATCATTTGTGGTCAGTAGCCAGTAAAAATCTGGAGAGGCAGAACTGGAGAGCCAGTAGGGCACTATCTACACAAGTGAAGAGAAGTGGAAAATAGGCTCCAGCTGCACAGTTAATCAGAGAAGTCTTGACGCAGCAACGAGTTCTTTCTGGATGAAAAGAGCATGCTTGTTCTTTGGAATAGTAACCAGAAAATAAGCCAGGATAAACAACTGTTGATTTCACTTTCAACCCCCAAATCAATAACCTCCAAATCTTAGAACACATCTACCAGTGAAAAGCTGAGTATACAGTCCTGTTCATGGTCTCCATGGGAAGTCAAGTATGCAAAAAATGTTACCGAACCATTAATTTATCTAGAGACATATGCAGACCACCCACCCTTCCTTCCCAGGAAGTGCAGGTCCAAAGCATTATGATCCTTTCAGAAATTTTGTTGCTACAAGCAAGAGAGAAAAAGTTTAAGTCACAGAGAAAGTCTACTTGGAAAAAAAAAAAAAATCTGGATCAGAAGTTTACACACCCACTGTATTGTCCTCAGAAATAAGGTGAGTGATCAGTAATTCCCCCATAATCTCTTGCACAGGTATTGCAAATCTTCATTTGCCTTTCAAGCACACACCTCTGCTATACTAAAAAATTAAATGCGAGTTTTAGAGTTGCTTTGTAATTACAGTGGTCTGAGGACAGAGGCAAAGCTCTTTCTACAGTGGAAAAGATGAGGCAGAGTGTGAGGTATTTTTCATAAATTTAAAGCAGACTACTAACCTCGCCTCCTTGGTTTAGTACTCAGCGGTGGGGAGAGTATACTGTAGCCCAGTAAAACTACAACCCCTTACTTAGTCCATTTTCTAGGGGCACTCAACGGTACTCTCTACAATTTTATTAAGTGATTGAGAGATTCAGGTAATAATGAAAATTACAGCTATGCTACTCTTTTAAGGTATCATCCCATGCAGCCCAACCTGTAGCTATACTCAGGACATCTTTGCTTTTAACTTAGTATGCAGGCATAGAACTGGCCAATTATATTCTTGCCAACAACTCACAAGGAAAAAAAAAAAACCAAACCCAAACAAAACAGTAACAGCATTAAGTGATCAACGCTGAAAAACGACGCGAGCAAAGTAATCCCAACACACTAAAATCTACTTTGAGACACCAGAACATCAGCTCAGCCAAGAAGTTTCTGATAGCGACATCCTTCTCCCACATCACTCGAGTTACAAAAATCACATCCTGTAACAAGGCCACGTACCTACTAAGCTCAGCTATCCAAGGTACTCATATTTGCTATAAAAAAAAGCAGGATGTTTATTGTTTTCACTGTGAACTACATCATTTCTATGTAGAAATGCAAATGAATTACAACTATTTGTATCATTACATCCCATTTTAAAATGATATGTAACAAGCATTTCAGCAAGTATCGGCAACATCAGCACGTTTGACTTGCAGTACAATCTGATATAAAAACAGGGTGTGAATGGAGCTGTTATTCCAAATTTAGATAGACAGTACGCTTTAAACCAGAAAGCTGATCTCAGCTCCAGTAATAGCAAGAAAGGATGTGTTCCCCTTCATAAAACAATATACACAAGCAGCATATACATAACCCATATTTTACAAAGCACTTTTGGGTTTAGTGACTGCTCTGGAGCTAAGTTATACTTGGTTCAAAACGGAGTGCTCCTTTTCGATACAGGACTTTCCTGGCAATGAAAGCACAAGCCCATCTGAAGCACCGCGGCTCCCCTGCCCCGTGTTCTCAACTTTCAGAAAACGTACCATGCGTTACGCTACAAAGCACGGTTATCGATGACAAAGTTGACCTATTAAATGCATTATACTACTACAGTTTTCCCACTGGAGCTTATTTAAAATACCAGTGGGAGACCCTTTAAGCAGCAGCATTTTATATGTCAAACCCCTTCATCTCAAGCATCCGAACAAGCCTATGCCTGAACATCAGTGCAGTCAGCAGCTGCAAGGCAATTCTCTCCCCCTCTCGGGTTTTCCACTGAAACACAACACTGGAAGTAGCACTAAGTGTATTTTCCCTTTCTCAGTTACAAAAGAACAGAACAGCTAGCTGCCCCTTGTAGTCTTATCCCAGATTTACCTCAATAAAGTTATCCGAGCATCTTTAAGATAGTTTCAGGTCTACCCTTGAGCAGTAAGAAAATGGATTTAAGATTCTCTTATTACTTACTGCACACATTTAAAACCGCTGCACAAAGGTGACCCAATTCTAGAGAAAAATTGCGTGATTTTGCTCCACACACAGAATGACAAGAAACAGCCTTGAGAAATTTAGCTTATCATTGGATTACTTGACAATCGGGCTACCTCACTGCACACGCCAAGTTTGTCTCATTCTTCTGCCAGCCTTAAAAGTTGGCAAAAGCGCTTCACTTTCCCAGGATTAGAAGGAACTCGAGATGTTTTCCAGCAAACAAAGTCTACTGAGTTAAAGTGCACCTTTAAAGAAACTATGATATTCAGTACACAAAAGTGACACTACTTTTTCTAACAAGTTGAACCACATACAAAAGTTAACTTCAATAGCTGATGTAACATCAGTGGTCTTGATACAAGATCAAGTCATAGTTAATGCTCTTCTCCAAGGAAGCTCTTAGGAGCATTTAATGATTCATTAAATAATTTCAAAGCTTCCCACTCACGATGGGGCAACAAGATGTACATACTTATATCATGAAATATATTTAATTCAACACCAAAGTACTTGTACAAATGCTTTATTTACACTTACGGAATTTGACTTTGCTGTATAACGCAGTTAAGATACCAACCGCTCTAAGAATGTGTTTAGTGTCACGGTGACAGGGAAACAGAGCAGTTTTAGATTTTACTCCATGTTTTGAAAAGGCGGCAACTCAAAATAAGGCTCAGCTTGTTTAGCACAACCATCCAAAAATCTCGGAATGCGGAGGGTTTTCCCAGGGGGTGAGAAGCTCAGCGCTATGTAAATTGGTAGCAGGAACATCAGACTCCAGCAAGATGCAGCAGTCAGTATATTTATGCTACTCCAATGGCGCCTGCTTTAATTGTCCTTTTGACTCTAAAGGACACAAGTAAGGAGGAAGGAGCAGTACAACATACGTGAATGCCAAGCCAAGTTCGGCATCATCAGCTCACATGCTGAAAGGCAGCACATCCAAACAGTTTTGCACAGACACTTATGCTCCAGCTCTTAACAAAGTAGTAGTGGATACGGTGAAGCCTTTATATCCTATTAGGCATTTTCTGGATTTTTCTCAATGCGATTATCAACTGTGGGTTTCTTGAACAGGCAAAACACTGAAGGCAGCATGCTTATCTTTCTGTAAAAGACTGAAAAAACCAAATTCTTTGCCTTAACAAAAACATTGTGTGTGTCTCCTCTTCTATGCCTAGGAGACTAGATTTTTCTCTTCACATCAAGTAAGGTCCAAAAAAAAAAAAGTACGGCTTCTTGCACTGCAGAAGTGCATGGTTCAACCAAAACTCAGCATTACAGTTAAACTAATTCAGAAAACAAAAACCAAAAACAAACTAGGGAAAAGCTGGCAAGTTTGTCAAACTCCACAGTAAGAGGCAAGCCATTTTTATTTTACTGTAAAGCTGTAGTAAGCTTTTAGTGGTCGGGTATCTTTTGAGAATCTTTATTAACATCAGCTTTTCTTTTGTTAAAAGTAGCAGCTACTGTTTAATTCCACAGTACAACCAAAAGGACTGAATTCTTTGGTGCAGTTCAAAGCCAACAGAAGCAGAAATTAGTCACATAAGCGTAAGTTAGTTACGTTGGGATGACCACCCAAAGCAGAAACGGCTCTATTACGTATATAAGGTTCCTTTTATCTCTGTGGAGAACACCGATACTACGAGCAGGGTGCCCTATCAGACTGCAGTCTCACCTCAGCCATTCAGGAGTTAGCTATTCTACAGTAACAGCTTATTGTAGGCAAATAAAACAGTGGACTCAAAGTGCATAGAACTGCAGTTAGTGTCTGCAGTTCTGCAAGGATAGGTCCTTGGCACTTCTCTGGAAACAGTGAAAGTCTGGTTTTGTTACAATTGTTTCATAATTTTCTAGTTCCTAAAGTGTAGGACAGGTTAATTTTTTTATTATTGGCGGGGTGGGGAGTATTTGAGGTATTTGCTGCTATGAAATGAAGCTTACATATGCAGTAGTAAACAGACGCTAAGCACTATTTCTCATTTATTTCAGGCAATGACAGTGGTAGAATTGAAACCCTCATGCAGGCTGAGGGCACAGCCAATAATGACATCATATAGAGTTTGTTTTCTACATAGTCAAATATATAAAAGTTTCATGAAACTCATCACTGGGACAGCCAGCATAGTCAGTCCATGAGTTGTCTATTCAGTTAGACCAAGCTTCTTCTTCAGAGATTCTGGCATTTCAGGTGGAGGCGGACGAGGAAGTCTGAAATAAACCTTCACAGAATCATAGATGAACCACTGCAGTGCAGTCAGGGTACCAATCATAATGATACGAGCAAACAGACCTTTCCATACACCTATAGAGCAAAACATAAAGCATGAGTAGCACAAGAAGCCAGAAAAAAAGAAATCCTCCCCAAAACACCACAAACACTCGATCCAAAATACATGAAATAAGAATGTACCTTTGAATCCAAGCCTCATAAGAACCTGTGAAGCAGAACTGCCCTTTTCTTTGTTCAACACAGACACCACGGAGTCAGCAGGATGGGAAACAATTGCACAGAACACACCAGCTGAAAGAATAATTTGACATTAGTTCTGTGGTGTTTTAGCTGTACCATTACTGTGTACATTAAGTACAACCAACTGAAACCACACCTTCTAATAAATTGCACAGAAGTTATGTCAAGCCTCCTGGTATCCTAAAAGGACAGCAGGTACATACTTATAATGTGACATGAATATTAGACAACACCTCGGTTCTGCTCTTGCAGCACCTCTTCTGCTAAAACAAAACTCCTTCTGAATCTTTGGATACTGAAAATCCCCCTTCCATCCAGATTTCTCTCCCCTTCCTTCAACCTCCCCCCAGTCTAGCAAAGATGCAAGATTTTTCACTTAAATCAGCTGCAGTTTCTAAACTTGGACATTAACATTGGTAATACACAGGAACAATTAAGAGTATCGTCCTACTGAAGACCCATTTTCCACTTACATATTGAATATAGTTTTTTCCCCTGCACATTTTAAAGTAAATTCTCCCATTCTAGTTACATCAATTTGATATTCTGAAAAGGGATAGGCTTCTAGAGTTGCGGTAGTCCATTAATGAAGTGTAGGACTTAAAGATTCCTTACCAATATAGCCTGCAATAAATGTGACTACCAGCTGTTCTCCTTTTGTACATTCACTTCGTGGCTTGGGAACGACGTACTTGTAGAGAGCTTCAACAGTACGTTCAAAGCAGGCAAATTTCATCATTGTGTATGGAATCTGTCTCATCCATAGTGGAGCAACACCTTTATAGAAACTTAACCAAAGAAGAGACAAACTCAGTTTCATTTTCTCCAGTATTTAAAGGACATTTCTAATTTGAAAAAAAAAAATAGTTAGCTTATTGTTGCTATCGGAATACAACTTCTAAATACTGACACTGTAAGGCTTAAGTGTCTCAATACCTACAGAACAGAAATTTAACTTTTATTAGTTCCCGAGTACTAACTTAAAACAGCAACACAAATTAGAATTTACCTGATCCCTATGCTGCACAGCTGTTTTTGTAGTCACTTTTCAGATTACAGTACACTACAGTAATGCTGTACTGATGCTACAAGTGCAGTAAGGCTCATGTCTGCATACCAGCCAAGTCCCGATAGTGATAAATGACTTGTATATTTACAGCCACTTCTATCAGAACAGAAAGCTAACATGCAGTTATATTACTCTTACATGCCAATGACTCAAGCATCTTTGACTGTACAACCAAAAAGTTGCTGAATATCTCTGACTGGAACTGCTAGAAACTGAAGTTATCCAGCAGAACTCAGCACAAAGATACTCACAAAGATGGATCTAAGGAGCATGTGGGATTAACAGCCAGTTCAGCAGATTCCTTGAAGTATGTTAAGTTGTTAGCTTGAAATACAAAGACCAAAAAGTATTATAAGCTAAAGCCACAATTAGTTTTAGCAACAGTCTTTCATTAGGAAAAAATATTCAACATCAAGAACCTGAATAAAAATAACGAATAAAATCAAGAGATACTTACGCCCAGATGCCTTCTTCTGCAAACATTTTAGGCACAGCCTGCCGCAGAGTGTTAGCATATCCAGGCTGTGTCTGAATACGAACTTTAGCAGCTTCCATTGGAGCCAGAGCAATGTCGGCAAAAAACTCTGCACTGGCAGATGCAGCTAAATATAGCGAAGTACGCCACAAATATGCGTTTTCCTGAAATGAATTTAAACACACGTTTTTATTAATGAATCACGCTTTTGTGATTACTCTGTGCTACTAATGCTATTATGTTGCAGATATATAGCCTCATATAAACCACTTAAGGCTTACCTCTCCCAGCATGTTGCCATATAGGATTTTGAAAACTTCATAGAAACCAAATTTACAAAGCCCCTGCATGGAATATCCAATAAAGGTTGGAGCCCATCCCTTAGCCAAGCCACGAACGCCATCTTCTTTGACTGTCACTGAAAATCCATTGAAGATGCTCTTGTATTTTTGTGGATCAACCTAAACAGAACAAGTAGTTAATCGCTTGATATAGCTTACTACTTCCCTTCTCACACCCTGATCCGAAATGTAGAATTCTTAAATTCCTCATACAGCTGGCTTCCTAAAGGTTCCCTGGACAGATGAAGTACTCACCACGAGGTTACACTAATATAACTGTAATGGTTACTTGCTAGTCTCAAATCCTAACTTATTTTAACAGCCAGTATATTCCTCAATACTCAGGAAAACCACCAAACTGTCTGAATTTTGCTTTACATTTTATTCTCCAAATCAACAGTGCGACTTTCTGTATTGAAAAGATTTACTGAAATCACTATTCTAACACTGTCAGTAGTATACTGGTATAATTATGTTTAGATCAGATTCTTTAAAAATTTGACAGCTTCCGTCAGCAATCTCATCCACTCTACACATCACACCTATGTACACTCAAGCGTCGCCACAAACCAAACCTGACAATTCACCTGATTCTTAATCAGAAAAGGTTATTTGTCAACTGTTAGTCTGATCCCTCCACACAGTCAGACTAAGACAGATGGAGCAAAGCAGATCAAAGAGTACTCAAGAACTTCTACACTTGTACTTCGACTTCACAGTGAAGGCTACATACAAAATATTTCCTGCACATAAAACTTTGAGTGAGATTTCATTAATAACTTACCAGAAATTAAAAAAAGACCAACTTGAATAATTTTTTTTCATGTGAAAGGAAACCATTTAACAGAAATTCTTAAACAGGTCATTCTGACAAATTTTAAGTCACATCACACTGTTACTTTTCATATTTGACATCATCCAACATTTCCTCAGAGGGATAAGAAGGAAGATATCAAATTAGAAGTCAACCAAAGCTTTCAGAAAGAGCTATGGGACATGCATGCCAACCTGCAGTGACTGATATTTTGTCTTGCAGTCTGGCAAACAACCTACTTGAGAACTAGTTCACCTAAACACGTCAATTTTAGAAGATTCAGAACTTCAGAAGATTGACTATTTAACTGGGCATTGTAAAATGAGACTATGTTCATGTCAGAACCATGCTTAATTATCGCCTATGTAAAAGGTGACCTCTTCTTAAAAAGACATCAGAGGTCAGGCAACGGGTTTCTTCCTGGACAATCTAGGAAGGATTAGTAACATGCTCTGTACTGGATCTGTAAAGAGATAAATGCTGACAGGTTTTACAAGGTCACACCTGGAATCCACATGGAACCCTCCTTTTGCACCTTCCTCTAAGTGCTGGAGAAGGAAGGGGAAGTATCACCACCCTCATCACGTAGGGAGTCCAGGACTGGCAGCCCAAGCCAAACATACCTACCAAGCAATTGAAGCCTGGGAAGTACGAGGCCTTGCTCCCAGTTGTATATGCATAATTGTATAGCTCTCAGGCCTTCTGCCCATTAACCCAATTTGCAATCAGATTCAAGAACTGTTTGAGATGCTACATCCTCTTTACCCATCATCAGTCTCCTTCCCAGGAAACTCACCCTTAGGCACGGGTAGTCAAGTTACCAATACTGGATTTTGAAGTCCATAACAATAGAAAACTGCACTTAAGATACATTTTCAGAAATAAAACACATACTCAGCTACAGCTATTCCCTACTAGTAGAAATAGGGAATTCCTACACTATTAGCCTGGTGTCAATGCAAATTTTGTAGAAAGCAGCATGTTGCCCTCATTTGATGCACCCTGTGTCTGCCTGATGTTACAGAATTACTAGTTTAAGACCAGAATTTCAAGTTTGAGACTTGTCAAGTGTTCTCAAGTATGCGAAAAAGCCTCTCATGTAAAGAATGCTAAATAAAGGCCTTCCAGAAGAACACAATTTTAAAGAATATCACATGCAGTACTCCTGGCGTGACTAGTAGGTCTGACTAATTAGTAGTTCCCTCCTAATTTCAGGAGTTCTATCATTACAAAATCTCCACTTTTATAATCAGCATCAGCCTAGGCAACAGAGAAGTCGTTAGCTACTTTATTTCCAGAAATTTCAAAGTGTGCTTTAATTTGCTTCATTCTTGAGGCACAGGTTTGCCTGAATAAATCCATTAGTATGTTTTTATCCATGGCTGTTCACTAGATGATTTTAATGCGGAAGCTGGTATCACAAATTAAGTGCAATGTGACGACAATCCTTTCAGTTCAATCAAGAACCACTTCAGGGAAACTAGCCACAAGCACTGACAGCCTTACCAATACCATTTCAGGTTTTACCCATCATTAGAAACTATCTAATCCATAAGCCATGCATTGATATCCACAATGTTAATGGATCAAATTATACATGCATGTCACTCCAGGCTAAAAACCGTAGATCTTCAAAACACCAAAGATACTATTTCCTTCCTCCAAAAGCACACGAATAGTGCTAGACAGCCTACCAGACAGCAAAGAGTAACATTGTGGTGGGTGCCTTTTAGCAAATATAGTCAAGTTAAACGTGCCTTAATTATAGTCAAAAATAATTCATCCAGATTAGCCTAAATGCCTCTGCTTCTCTTGAAAGTGGTATTTTGTTAGTCTCACAGCAGTAGACTTGATACAGTAGCATTCAAGTTTACTCACTTCCTGTCATCCAGAAAAGATTGTGTTCCTACTGTAACTCTTAATATGCTGGCTACATAGAGAAAAAGTTTAATAAATGTTTAAGTTAATACAAACCTGCATACGACATTTCACTAAATCCAGAGGTACAACAGCAGTGTGTGTCAGGCCACAACTTAGGACCCCACCAACGCCACAGAGAGCATAAAACTTGAGCGAGCCATATTCACAACTGTATTCTGCAGCAAAAAATAAAGACACACCATGCTTTTACATAAACTCCATGCACTGTTGGACTATGATGTCCAAGGGATAGTTTATGCCTCCAATTCATTAGTAGATTAATTATACCACACTAAACATGCTTTGTCAATATCACCACATACCAACATGCAGAACAAACCTGTATTCTGCATTTAACCAGGTCTAGAGGAACCAGTGCTGTATGTGTTGTTCCACAGCTAATAATCCCACCAAGGCCACAAAGCATAAAGAATCTGCCTGAGCCATATGCACAGCTGTATTCTAGTTAATTGGAAAAAAAATTACATATATATGATCAATCATAAATACTAACAAAGATCAGAAAAGAAACAAAATTGGCTGAGCACTACCTTCTCAAAAGTATTAAACTTAAATAATCTCCCATGCTGTATTCCCCAACTGTAGTGTTACACTCAAAAATAATCCCATTGCTTTAAATTAACACCTTTTGGACTGACAAGACTTGACTCTAGGCCTTCCAAATTGAGTTTGTTCCTTTAAAAAAAGCAAGGGAAGAAAGTCAAGTTTTAGCTCACAGCACATTTAAACCATAGAAATTAATCCCAGAAGCTGCTAGTAGAAATTATGACTTGATGTTGCAATATCCAACGTTTTCTTGTATCAGGGAATTAAGCAAACAGAGTGCCTCCCTTGTATTCTGGAGACAAAGCTTCTTTGGTTCAATATTCTGCGATAGTGCAACTTCTGTATTTAAGTAGAGACCATACAGATCTACAAGATCATTGAGATCAAAAAGCGTTGGATTTTTCTTTATACAGATATATTTTCAGATCTTTTTCAGATTCTTTATACAGATTTTTACTTTCTTTCAAATACAGAATCTCAGATTTATACAGCTTCTGTTTAATGAAATTGCAGAATTTTATTAAATTAATCATCACATTCAATGCTCATGAACAAAGTTCGTTAAAGACTCTTTCAGATCACATTTAATCAAGGAATTCATACAGCTTCTGTTTAATGAAATTGCAGAATTTTATTAAATTAATCATCACATTCAATGCTCATGAACAAAGTTCGTTAAAGACTCTTTCAGATCACATTTAATCAAGGGATATTTCATTTGCACTGTTCCATACAGTACTCTGTATAAAACCATCCAGTCTTAAAAGAGCAAGTTATTTTCACAAATTCCAATAGAGCAAAGTTACTGGAGCTGAAAAACAAGAATCAGTTTCCCTCTTCCATTTTTGAGGAAGCTACAGAGGGTATGATTACGTGCAACCAGAAAACACTTAAGTTTACAATTAACAGTACAAATTAAGCATAAGGTAGCAGCACAGTTCTGCTACTATGCTTAGCATTTTAAATATATAAGCAGAAGTAAAACTAATATACTGAATAAGCATATAGAAAACAATACACTATATAGAAAATATTCCCCAGAGTAGAAAGGGATAATCTAGATTCTTTTGCTATTAGATCTAGCGGTGTTACTCCAATATAACGGAAGAGACACTAAAGTGTTACACCAACTTAATAAGAACTATCTCCAGAGAAACACTAATGAAAATCAAAAGATGGCAAAAACCTATCTTATTCAGAGCTTCTTCGCCCTGTCTTTTTGCTTCTGAAATAAATTCCTTTATGAACATCAACAAAAATTTACAATTACATTCAACAACATCTACAGAGCACCAGTTAACACTAGCAGGCTTATCCAGCTCATAACTTCACTATTATAAGGGAACTTCTTCCACAAAACGTTCCAGATTTTACACCACTTTTTATATTCACATTTCTCACCTTACTCTTCAAAATTAATCACCAAGACAATAAAAATGTCATTTTTTCTTTATTCTAAAATAACAAATACCAAATCATAGACACCATATTAAGCCCTAAACTTAAAGCGAGGAATCAGTTAACAGTCAGAACAATGCATAACCTATGAGAATTTTTTTAATTGAGATACTGCTCAAGACTGTAAATATGCTGGTCTGGGACTTACACGTACCTCTGAATAGTTTGGTTATGCTAGCAGATTTGCAGACAGCAGTAATATTGCATTTACAACTTGCCAGAATGACTGGATAAACAAACACAAACAAGACTTTCTATGCAGGTGTCATCACAGAACAGTCTCTGGGTCTGTATTATGGGGCAGCTCTGTCTAACTGCATCTTTGGCCTGCAGCACAACAGTACTGCAGTAGTTACCATGCTGCCCAGATACCAGAAGTGTTTGTTCACACTACCTTTTTCACAACAATTTACTGTTAGAAGTCATACTCCTCAAATGACAGAGACAGACATTTGTGGAAGCCACAGAAAAGTAGAATTTTATGTATCTGTTTTATTACAATGGTATTCAGACTGACCTGTCAGCTAGGTGTTCAAAAACAGTAATTAAGAAAAGTAAGCCAGTATCAATTAGGCTTGAGCTCTTTAGAGGTACCTAAGTTTGCAGTTGTGTAGCAGTATTAGGAAAAAAGCCATAGTAGATACCAGACTTTCTATTTCAGAAGTAGAGTCAAATTTCCTAAAAACTGTTACCTGAAAAAGAGAACCAACTAAACATGTAGTACAGAGGGCAATAAAGTTATTTTAACATACCTAGACACTGATTTAAGACAAACACCCTGAAGCTACTCAAATATAAATATACAGCACAAAAACATGTCTACTCTGTTAAAACAGCTACATCATAACTATTTCATTTCTTTGCTTCTGATCTGACACGTTAACAAGGACAAATTCCAAGAGCTGATCATAAAACACTTTGTCTCTGAGCTGTGTTATGGTTAATGCCCTGAGCTGAACTCAAAAAGTCTTGTGGTTTGTACTGACTTTGTATGACCTTGCATAAGCTCAGATATCTTCTGCAACGTGTTACTCTCCCAACACAAAGGCCAGAGAACCAACTGGTACGTGAAATAATGAACACAGCAGAAAAGACTACAAAGACTAGAAAACTCTGGTCACCTTTGACTGCATCTGCCTACAAACTGGATGAAGATTAAACATAATGCTTTTAAGAAATAAGTGCACCTACTGAATATATTTAGCATACCGAAGAGCAATTTAGGGCTTTAGTTAGCTAGCAACAAGATTACTACACTGAAAGCCAGAAGTACTTTCTTGAAAACTTAATAAAGTCCAACACCCAAGTCTGTCTCTTTCACATATTACATGAATGTCCATACAAGAGCACTAACATACTTCAATAATCATAGTACTTCAGGAGAGGTATCTTGCTGAAAGCACTACTTTTTTTTTTAAAGTATTAAAAGAATTAGAATTTCAATGTCTACATCCACTATTAGGAGTATCACCAAGGTCTGACTTTTGGAAGTCATGACAGTGATCAGGAAACATACAGAAAGCACTTGCACTTAAATCTAAAATGCATCACTACATCACTTAGACAGCAGAGCTACCTGGTGTATGACCCACAACTACAAAGAAGAAAAAAAAAGAAAACCAGAACAGCTGCAGGAATCTCTAATGTGTCTGGATGGTCACATGTCCAGCTGTGAATGTATAAAGCCGGGGAAAAAAAAAAAAAAAAAGAGACAAAAGGATGGGAGAGAGTGTCTTTCAAATCCATCCAGATTCACATGCCGCTCTTCACCACGGAAGAAATAAATACGGGCCTACAGCCTCAGTTCCCGAGGCTGCAGGCCCAGCAGAGCCAGAAAAAGCACTCTCTTACCCCCAAGACAGACTCCATCGGGGGTCTCTGTAATTACCCTGAACTAGAACCCTCCTGTGCCCTTCCTGCACCGGATCCTTGCTGCCACTCAGCACACACCGCACGGGGAGCGGAAGAGGCTGCCAGCGCCTCCCCCGCCCGTGCCCTTCCTCGTCCTCCAAGCGGGCGCATAGGCCCAGCGCCAGCTCCTCCCCGGCCCGGCCGAGCCCCGCTGAGCGCTAACCTTCCCTCCGCCACCCCGACGGGCACAGGCCCGCACCAGCGGAGGCAGCGCGGGCACCGGCGCCTCCACCGCCCGCAGCCCTCGCCTCCGCCGCGACCCCTCCCTCCCGCT